TTCCTGCAGTGAGACAAGGATAAGGATCAGAGGAGGCAATGGCTGGATGCAGATTCCCGTCACTCCCCATTGGTCAGCTAGGAGTTCTGGTAGGGTCATGGGAAGTATTGAGCATTGTGAGATGGCAATGCAAGAGCCTTCCGTTTCTCTGGCCTCTGGAATCCCACACGGATGAGGGAAGGGAGAGGCACAGAGGAAAGGGGAAGCGGAAAGGTAAGATATCTGCATCAGATGATGATCCAAGCCTGTGTGTCTGGTCTAGCATGGACACATACTCCTAACGGTTCTATTGATTCCCTCCAAAGCAGTGAAAAAAGCAGGAAAACTTATATGGCTGGCTACAATGTGTAACATGTCTTAGTTAAGTCTTTCAGCTAATCTTGGAAGGGAGAGAAGATTTAATTAAGTTGAAGCTTGTCAGCTTGAAAATAGGAGAGTTTGCATCTGTATTCAAGAAACAGGATCTACAATTCTTGCACCTGCAACTTTTCTTTCCCTTAATGCAGCAATTGATCTCATAATTCTGTCATGCCTCCCCCTGCCTGATGGGACTACAAAGGCGTATTTATATGCTAAGCATGGCTCTCCTCCACCAGACCTACAGCTGGTGTCCCTACTGCCCACAAGACTAAATTCAGGGATCATTCTGTCACTTTGAAAAGAGCTCACTTCAGCTCAGATTTAATAAAAGTCTGCTTTGATCCAGAGCCCAGTTTGAGATTTAGAGTTGTACTCCCTATTGCTTAGTACAGGAAAATCAAACACATGTAACATTTCCCAATAAAATGGGATGCAACATTTAGAAATAGTTCTGAAGGGATGATGACTTTCCAATTTTAGAAATACAGGTAAAGAAATTTTGGAACTAGAATCCTTTACACTGTGATTGTTTAATGAAACGTGCCTGTAACAGAATTCGATGACTCTGGAAGCATATTTGCTGATTCTGTGGAAATAAACATCAAATTTCAGATAGATAAGAGTGAAAAGTTTTGTTTTGCAAAAGAAGTTCTTACAAATAGAAGCCCGTAGATACAGATTAATTCATCCCTCCTACTGAGGGATATGGTTAAAGTGAAAGGAGAAGTTACCAGCCTCCTTACCCTCTAAACAACCTTGCCAAACATCACTTGGATTGTCAAAATGGGTTTCAGAGAGGGAGAAACGTTCCTTCCCATAATCCTGCTCGGTATTACTGGGAAGTGGATTGGATACTATAGTACAAAACTCTTTAGTAAGACATTGAAAGAAATGGATCTGAGGGTTTGGTTGACTGGACATAATTTCATTTGCTGGGGAGTCGTCCATCCTTTGAGTTGAGAACATTCTCTTAGAACACGCTAATGTTTTACATGCAGCAATTTGGAAATTTCATTTGGTGATGATCCTTAAAAACATTGCCTATCAAATCAACACATTATGGCAAGGATGCAGAACTTCTGTCAAGTTAAGGCCACTCTGGACTTTATACAATATGCAGAATCTAGATCCAAATTACAGTACTTGCTGGTCCTAGGTTAAGGACTGAAATGAATGCCTTAAGCTTCTCTACTTACTTAACCTTCCCAAAATCCGACTCCAAATAAAAAGGCATTTTTGTTTTGTTTTGTCCATTCAGGGGCCATAAAGGGGGTCCAAATGGTCACATACAAACCACACTTTTCACTTCCCTGCATTGCTGCATACTTTCCTTGTTTATTTAAGTACATCCTTATCTACAGAAGGTCTCCTGCAATGCAATGTGATTTAAAGCCCCTGTTAGCTGTGTTGCATAAACACCTGAGGAGATTAATATCAGCTAGCCAAACGTTCTGCCATCTTTTACTAATACCAATATAAGAAAACCCAAGAAGCCAATTAACCAGTCTTAAGTATTTTCATATTGCTGTAAAATAGCTAATAAAATTAGTGTGGGAAGTCTTTGGCTCCTGTAATTTAGCAACATTAACCTGATTTAGAAGTTAGACTCATTGTGTAATAAGGTTTAGAAAATAACAAGATTTACCACCATCTCATTTTACTATCTATCATGCATCAGCATAATTTCATTCAGATGTGTATAAAATTATTCTGGTACCATTTAGAGGGAAAAAAATCCACTTTCTATAGAGCACGTACAATTGGAGAAGCTTGTGATTGTGTTCGTACAACATGCTTGCTTATAGTTAACTGAACCATGGTTTAATCATGCTGAGCCAAACATCTAACTGTGTGTGCTATGTTTGTTAGTTGGCAGTCTGTTGTGCGATACAGCCTGTTTGTCTTTTTCCAGGATTCTAATCTATCCCCAAAAGATTTTTTTCACTGCTAGAATTTAAATTTAAATTAAATCTTTGTATGTTTGATTCTATGTAAAAAAAAAAAAAAAAAAAAGGAAGTAATTCTAAGTCATGGTTTTACAGTTAGCATTTCAGATGACTCACAGGGACTATTACTAAGTGAGATATATTCTTAGTCCTTCAGCCAGTTTCTGATCATAGTAGTTAACTTTACCCTTATTTTAACTTGTTTATAAAGTCAAGTCTTCTTCAAGGTGAGCTCAGCTCCTGGGAACTTAACACACCCATCCGTGTAAGCTTAACTCATCTGTGTAAGCTTCTTAGCAACAATATGCGAAATATGGAAGTAATTCATACTGCCTACTTCTGGGACCTTTTTCAACTTCCCAGACTAGCTTGCAGCCTTGGAATTTCTTGGTAATCACCCATCCAACTACTAACCAAGTTTGACTCTGCTTAGCTTTTTGCAATCAGCCATGCAGAGTTATGGATAACCAAGCCATCTATATTCCTTCACACTACAAAAGTATTCCAGGAAGTTCTCAGAGAAGGTTTGTAGAACATGCTTAATCACATCTGATACAACCATGTTAAGTATTTACCCAGTTGCCTGGGGTTAACTGATCCCCCAAATTGAGGGCAGTTCCAATTTGCCTAAGTGGTAGTAGCTAGTTGGCTCTCAATTTCTGTGGTTCCTTAATTGTGATTTTTACAATTTAAAATCTTGCAATGGCTTTTTTTTTCATTCTTTAGGTGCCCGCAGGGTATGAAAAAAAAAACCAGGGGAAAAGGAAGATTAAGTTGCAGCAACCCCTTTTGTAATCACTCTGGTGTTCCACAGCAAGCCACAAACTAGCCTGCCCCATTATATTTCAGTGTGTTCTACAACCCAATTGCTATAGTGTTCTATGTACATTGTACAAAGCCAGAAACCCAGAAGCCTGGGTTAAGTCCATAAACTGCAGGAAAGAGTGTTCAATAAATGCAACCTCACTGGTTGCTCTCACAGACCAGGCTAAACTACAGTTGAGTTGAATAGATTGTACCCGAGCCTGTTGTGGGAACTCAGCCATGATAAATGAACCATCATGTTAAATCATCATATGATTTGTTTGGGCATAATATGCTAATGTGTCAAGTTAACCTGCATTTAGTGCTTAAAGTATTGTGTGAACTCCTCTGCCTGAAGGCCAAATGAAAGCTTTTCAAAATAATACTCTTTCCTGGATAGAGTCAATTTGGTATAGTGGTTAAGGCACCAGACTAGAAATTGGGAGACACTGAGTTCTAGTCCTGCCTTGGGCACAAAGCCAGCTGGATGATCTTGGGCCAGTCACTCACTCTCAGCACTGGGAAGGAGGCAAGGGCTAACCACCTCCATAATCTTGCAAAGAAAACTGCAGAGTCTAGTCCAGGTAGTCATCAGGAGTCAAACCCTGACTTGAAGGCACACACACACACACTTTCCTGGATCAGGATGTCTTAGGCAGTTGAACTTCAGATGAGTTAATTTATGATAACCTTGAACAAAATCATGATTAAGGTGCTCTGACCCAAGGGATAGATTCTTATGACATGCTTATTAATGTTACTGATGCTTAAGTTGAGGTTCCATTCCAAATGACATGTAGACTATACTATAGTGGAAGATTACAGAACACTGATCACAGCAATTGGACTATCCCAGCAATTATTCCAGAGGAGGATGGCAAGTGGAAAACAGTGTCATCTGGAACCAATGACGTTCTGTGACCGAAACAAGGCCACTGTATGAAAAAAGCACACTATGGAAACTACCTACCCAATGTTGCATTTGGAGCAGTGCCCACCTTGAACCACCAGGACAGTTGAGGGCAAGTTACAAAGGTAATCAAGTCTCCCTCTTCAAAGTCTGAACAGGTTGCACATATTCTGAAAGTGAGGACACAGAAGATGAATTAGATGTTATTAATCTGGCTTCACACATGTACATGATTCTTGGGAGAAAGGAACATTTCATACAACAGCTTGGTTTACAATTCACATTACTGTAATCATCCTTCATAAACTACCAACCACATTTTAGCCCAGCAGGTAATGAAAAACCCAACAGTGTGGTTAATGGCTCACCATGAATAAAAAAAGTTATTACATGGAAAAGCATGTTAGGTGAGCCTATGAGCCTTACTATCAATGACTGGGTTACCAAATTCTATGTATCCTGCTGAATCTTTAATAGCATTCATTTAAACCTAAGTCTTATTAAACACATTCTGTTGGAAATAAGCGTGCTCATATTTTGAAGCACAGATTTTATTTCTTGCATTTCCAACTTTGTTTCGGCTCCACGGTTTACATCGCCGCCCCTTCCACGTGTGTTTGTATATCTGTGTACTGTACACCATAAATAACACACCCGCAAAGGAAAACGCCTGACCGAGCTGAACAAACACGTCGGTCTCTTCCCTGCTACCGGACTCCTCGACGGCTTCCAGAGGGAAAGCTTCCAACGCCACCGTTTGACCGCTGCAGGTTAGTTAAGGGGGGGCAACTCAGCGGCCAGTTGGATCACGCGAAACAATCCAACCCCCCCCCCCGCTCCCTCGGCGTTCGGCTTCTGCCGAGGTCGCGGGCGCAACGTAGCCAAAGGGCTGAGGGGAATCAGGCTCGGCGCGTGCTCCAGAACGTTCACCTCCCCCGCCGGCCGGCGGGCGCGCGCGTCTCACGTGACCTGGCCGGCAGAGGGGAAGATGGCCACCGTCTCTTTACGCTGAAGGAAACGGAGCGCTCTTCAACCCGCCTTTGCAGCAACAACAACAACAACAACAACAACAACGCCGTCCTCTTCCACGCTTGTACCCAACCGCTGCTTTTCTCTGGTAAAGGCGTACAAGCGAAGTAAACAACGGCGGCGGCGGCGGCGGCGGC